ACTGGAATTAGTGATTCACTTCGAGCCAACAGAATAAGAAGGAAGCGGAAGTGTGTGGCTTTCAAGACTGGGGCATAAAAAGCATGGAGGTCTCCACCTTTCTCTCTCTTGAATTGCATGCTTGGAGGGAAGGCAGCTGCCATCTTGGAAGGATACCCAGTTAAGCCTGTGGAGAGGCCCATGAGGTGAGAAATTGAGGCCTCCTGCCAACAGCTGGGAATGAGGCATCAGGAAAGTGGACTGATCCTCCAGCCACAGTCAAGCCTGAGGTGCCTACAGACATGGCCAACACCCTGATGCAGAGCTGGAAGCCCAGTTAATTTCCTCCCAAATTTCTGACCCGCAGAAACTGTACAATGATACTTGGTGTTTTAAGCTACTAATCTTTGTGATAATTTATTATGCAATAATAGATAATGAGCACAAGCTGCTACCAGAGGCTAATTCTTCTCCTGTTGAAAGACAAGAATACAGGGCACTGAGCTCAGTTGCGCAGGCATAGCTCAAGCCTCTGCTCTTGTACGGTCTGCTCATATCCACGACCCAAAGTCTTTTGGTGAAACACGACATCCATGGGCAGAGAAATACCTCTCTACAGTCGGCTGAATGATGGCCACCCAAAGAGATCAGGTTCTAACCCCTGGAAATTTATAAGGACAATGAGTCTTTGCAGATATGATTAAGGATTTGCACATGGTAAGGTTATCCTGGATTATCCACAAATACCATTTTACAGGTATCCTTATAAGACAGAGCAGAGAGAGACTTGACATACATACGCAGAGAAGAAAGTGATGTGACAATGAAAGCAGACACAGAAGTCATGTGGCCACAAGCTAAGGAACACCAAGGAATGCTGGCAGCCACCAGACGACAGAAAAGGCCAACAACAAATCCTCCACTGGAGTCTCCAGCTGACACCTTGACTCTGGCCTTCTGGCCTCCAGAACTGTGAAAGAATACGCTTTGATTGTTTTGAGCCACTGAGCTTTTGGTACTGTTCGTTAGAGCAGCCCTAAGAAATGAATACAGCCTCCAATGGGGTAGTCAAATATTGACTAAACATTCTAATCTACTGTAGCATCCCTTCAAAAAATAATCAGAAAATCAAAGAGGAAACACTGTGTATTGATACTACCAAAATATTGGGTTGTCAGAAAAGTTATGACGCATTTTTGCAATGAAAAGCAGAAAAAATACATCATGACTTTTCTGACAACCCAATAAATGAACACATAAGTAATCAAATGAATACGTAAATAAGGAAAATGAAGAATTCAGAACACAGATTAATTATCCATGAAAGCAGTAGAAAATGTCAAAAAAATTATTCTTAACACTAAGAAACCAAATTAAAAGCTGAAAATAATATAATTTCAGAAGTGGGGGATAGAGAAAAAGAATGCAAGTGAGCTCCCTAGATTTAGGGGAGAAAGTGGAGAATAAAATAAAAAATCAGAAATGATTGCCCTGTTAGAAAGGTGCATATGGAAGATATGATGGAGAAAAACCATACAAAATGGAATTTAAAAAATCAAAGACAAACATGTAAAAGAAAAAGTGAAATAAAAAAATCATTGTATATGTAATTAGTGTTTCTGAAGAAGATATTGTTACAATGGAAAAAAATTCAAAGATACAAGAAAACTATACTGAAATGAAAGAAGATGTAATTCTAAAAACTGAAAGGACATGTATTTTAGGAACAACTTATATAACAATGTTTTATACTAGAAAATATTTTATTGGGTTGTCAGAAAAGTCATGATGCATGTTTGCAACAGATGGCACTAGTTCATTTCTGGGAGTACTAGAGTCATTCTCATCTATGTTATTGCTATGTCATTTGACAGCTGACAGTTCTAGCTTCATTCTAAAAAAATTTGAGCCATTTGGTTGAGTTTTGGAGATTTTACAACAAGTTGAAGATGGAAGACCAAACTGTGCATTTTTGCCATATTTTACTGTTTTACTTCCATAAAGGGAAGAGTGTGCATCAAGCTTGTGAAAAGTTGCATAAAGTTTACGGTGACAACGCTCTACAAGAACATCAGTGCCAACAACGGTTCACAAAACTCCGTGCTGGTGATTTTGATCTCAACGATGCTCCTCGGCCAGGGAGGCCCACCGAGGTTGATGATGACAAAATAAAGGCAGTGATCTACTCAAACCCACGTTACACGACATGAGAGATTGCAGAAACATTGACCATCCATCATTCCAGCGTTCACGACCACCTGAAGAAGCTGGGATACATAAGCAAGCTTGATATTTGGGTTTCGCATGAACTCAAAGAAGTCTATTTGACGGCGCGTATAAACATCTGCAATATGCTTATTAAACATGAGGAAAACGGTCCTTTTTTGAAGCGATTGATAACTGGTGATGAGAAGTGGATTGTTTACAACAATGTGGTGTGCAAACGGTCTTGGTCCCGACGTGATGATTCACCTCAAATGACATCGAAAGCAGACATTCATCAGAGGAAGGTTATGCTCTCAGTGTGGTGGGATTTTAAAGGTGTTGTGTTTTTCAAGTTCCTACCAAGGAACCAATCAATCAGTTCGAATGTGTTCTGTCAGCAATTGGACAGTTTGGATGAATCCATCATCCAGAAATGTCCAGAGATTGTTCATTGTAAAGGAGTTGTGGTCCATCGCGACAACGTGAGACTACACACCAGTTTGATCACCCATCAAAAATTATTGGAGCTTGGATGGGATGTGTTGCCACACACACCATACTCGCCTGACCTTGCGCCGTCAGACTTCCACTTGTTTCGCTCTCTTCAAAACTCCTTGCATGGTATAACGTTCAGTTCAGATGAGGCTGTAAGTCAGCACCTTGTTCAGTTTTTTGCAAAGACAGGTCCTTCTATGAATGAGGAATTATAAAGCTCACTGAAAGATGGCAAAAGGTTATCGAACAAAATGGGCAATATATCATTGATTGATCTTTGTTCGTTATACAAATAAATGACCTTTGAAAAACATAGACAAAATGCGTCATGACTTTTCCAACAACCCAATAGTTCAGAGTCAATGTGACGCTGGCTTTTCTCTTGTAAGTTTCCATATTCATAATAGATATGAAGACATCTTCACATATGGCAAGATGCTTGTAAGAAATTGTTATTGGTAAAGTAATTCTACTATTTGTTAAATCAAACAATGGCTATATAAGGTTGTTTCCAATGCCATGATTCATTCTATAATCTCAGTCCAAGCCATCCTTCTTACAGACCTTGAATAAAAATTTCAGAAAGCAACTATAATTGGCACACGGTTAAATTTATTCATAAAATGCTCTAAAGTCAACTAGTTAATAATAATTGTGACTTCTGTAGGCGTCCACCTTTTAAGTGTAAACATCTCTATATACTGTAGCAAACACTTGGCAAACAAATCAATTGGTATAACATTACCTTTCTGTGTCTGCCAAAATTGAGTTTTTTTAATACCTGGAGCAATGTGTTAACCAATATGGCTTTTCAAATATTCATTTGTCATGCAATTTGTTATATTCTCCAAGAAATTGGTACTAATTCTGTGACATATTTCATATAATATTTTTGGTAAATTGGAAAACGTCAGACAGATCACCTGCACATTTGTCTTCTTTTTTTTTGAAGGATGCAAAAATTAAAAGTATTCTTTATTAAAGAGAAAATGTATGGTGTATTGTCCTTCTTGGGGTTAAATGCAAGTCAATACAAAAATGATTTTATAGGCAAATATTAATTCTCTACTACCATTTTAGGAATGTGCATGAAAGCAACATGAGGAGAGCTATAGAAAAGACATCTGTATGCACTTGAGATTATTTGCGGTATGACTGGGGTGGTTGGTACTAACAAATCTTTTGTTTACAAAAGCATTCTTTTCCAAAGATAAGAAGTGATGTAAAAATGTCCAGTGGATACAGCACCCGCCCTTGATATCAAATGGCACAAGAAACGGGATTGGGTTTTCTTATCTTCGTTTCCCCATAGGGCTTGGCAGGGCTTGCACACTGGCCCGTAGTAAGTGTTGAATGGGTAAGTGAATGAGCATATGTCAGACAGTAATTCCTGTCAGTAAAACAGATAGTATGTTTGTTTGAATTCAGAATAAACCCAGAGAGCACTTACACTTTTTGCAGATTGCAAGAGTGATGCGCAGTTTTCTGAGAGGCAGATGAAGATCAGAGGCCCCTAACTGACTCCTGCCATTAAGCCACTTTCTGTCCTGTTTCTTTGGTGACAACATACAGGCTAAGATTGCTTGAAGTCTGTCTAGAAGCTCTGATAGCGTGGAATTGCTGGTTTGCTGGACAGAGATTGTCCAACCCTGTGCATAAGAGAATCTGAATCGATAGGAAACCTAATATGCCAACTGAATTCGTGATTTGGTCAATCCCCACCTTCCAGTGCGACATGCTGTAGGAATGAAACATGCGAGTGCACCAGTCTGCTTTTCCACTCCTACATAACAATGCACAGACATTCAGCTCCGTCATTTCTTAGCAAAATTCTACCTCAAACATCCCAGACTGGATTGTTAAAAATGTTGTAGAATGACTTTCAACTGTACTCTCAATGTCAAGAGGTTTTTCCTTCATTCTAATGTAAATTCTCTTTGTTTCTGTTTTATTGTGGCAGAAAATTGAACCAAATAACCTCTTAAATGCATCTCAACCTCATGATTTCAAAATTTATAGCATTTTGTCTGTAGAGTATAACTTCTAAAATTTGCCCTAATGGGCCAGATTCTCTTAACAATTTCTGGAATTAAACGATGGACTCTGGGGGGAGCTCTAAATATGTGAGGGTTTGTGTATTTACTTGTTTATTCTTCAACTATAGAAAACTATTCTTCATGCCTAGTCAGCTGAGCCAGGCTAAAGTTATTTCCTTAAAATGTACATATAAATACCAAGTATTAAACATTGTTATTTTAATAATTACTACATATTAGAAAAGTCCCCAGTTTAATCATATAATTTTATATTATTTATTACAGAACACGACAGAAAATAATAGCAATTGCCCGAATAATGAACCTAACTTTTTTAAAAAGCATTCATGTGATGATGATAAGGTAATGATAATTACTTGCAGTTTATATGTCATTTGAGTTTGATTTCATAGAAGCCTATATTTTTTGTATCTCTGTTAGATAATTATATTGATTATATTAATAACTTTTTTTTTTTTTTTTTGGTTCTAACCAGACAGTTCCCGCTGATCTATTAAGTTATACTATGGTCTCGTTTTATACTTTATTTTACAACTAGGCCTGTGCTTATTTGATTATTCTTTTTTATTTTAGCATTTCATTTTTCACCTAGAAAACACTAGAAGAACTGCTAAATTCAAAGACACACATTTCTTATTTCTGAAAATGTTTTGCAGGAAAATGCTTGTTAGAGTGATTGCTTTCACACACATAAACATAAGTTATGGGCATAATTTAGTTGTAGGCATCTTGAAATTTTTTCTTTCAATATTTGCTAACCTTCACACCACTACCACTTCTAGTTGGTGTAATAATACAATTTACAAACTTCCCCCCAAAATTTGTATAATTTCTTTCTACAAAAACTAGAGTGTGGTATTCAGTAGTCTTTGATAAAACTCATAATAGCTGAGTTAATCTCATGACATCTAATAGTATATCCATAAATTCTTTTTTTTTAATTTCTTACTTTAAATATCTGAAAAATTTGTTTTAGGTGAATATGACCCTTAATGCCAGCTATTCGCCCATAGCTCAAAAGGTGCAAAATTAATAACAACAAGTAAAATCACACATACCTTTCATTATTGTTGCTTCTCGGAGACTTCCCCTTTGGTTATCTTGTGTGAAATGAAATAAACTTGTTATATGTTCACCCGTAAGTGGTAAGACCACACATATACAAAAGAGAAAGAGAATTTAAAAAGTCAGATAATCATTAAACCAAGTTCTAGGCACTTCAGGCTGTCACCTAGGAGAGAAACAGTTTCAGGCTAGCTACTTGTCAGCCACGTGATTAACTGGAAGAGAAAGCCTGGGTGGGGGAGGGGCATTCTTTAGTAACACAGTTTTGGCTTTAGGATCCTCAAGAAAGCTGATCATTTCTTAATATTTTATTTGAACCATAGCCCTTCTGATTTTTTTCTGTAATAGGAAGCTATGTTTTTAAAAACTGCTGCTCGCAAGTTGAAGTATTTTCTTAACACGAATATCAGTGCGGAGTTGAAGCACCACGTATCAATACTTTCACAGGGCACATTACAGCTGTTGAACTGCACCAGAAAGGTAAGCTGAGGACGGCTTTTTTGAACAAAAATATAAACTACTCCCCTGATAGGGTATTAACATTCTCTGATAAACATATCCATTGTCATAGAATTCTAAAAGATTGTAACTTAAAGTTGAAATGCATTTACTCAATTTGGAAGAGGAAAATCTCGGAAAGTACCTGTTTGTCTCTTGGCTAGGGCAAATAAATAGTTTATAAAATGGGAGTGAAAATAAGTGAATGCATACTTCATTGCCATAATAACTTTCAAGGAGGCTAGTGTGATAAGTTGGGTGGGGAATGGTAAATTTTTATCTCTAAAATGTATTAATAATTTTAATCCATGTATGTATACATTTATGAGAATTCATAGCCAATAAAACAGGTAATACAATGTATTTAACAAATACCTTTATATGTTAAAACGGCATATATACGTCCAACAATTTTCTATTTTTTTTTGCTTAAATAATTTTGATAAGTATAGGGCTAACTTTTCCGTACTCCTCTGCTAGTGGTTATTAAACAGCAAAATTTGGAAGACATCTTGAGACTAGACAACAGTTACTTCATCTACAAAATGGAGGAAGAATATAATATCTACATTATAGGATATTAAAGGCTTAAATGGCATAATTCATGTAAAGTGCTTAGTACAAAAAAGGTTTCAATAAATGTTATATTTTTATTACCATATTTCCCCATGTATAAGACGCTCCCATGTATAAGATGCACCTTAATTTTGGGGCCTGAAATTTGAAAAAAATGTATTATATAAAGTTATTGAACTCAAGTTTTATTCATCATAAAATTTATGCAACTCCTCATCACTTGCAGGAAATGCAAGTAAAAAAATCTACAATCACTGAATAAGATGCACCCAGTTTTTAGACCTCAAATTTTTCGTAAAACGGTGCATCTTATACATGGGGAAATACGGTACTATTACCCTTCTCTTCAGGAATTTTACCAGCTGCCACACAAAGCCAAGTTTTCTTGGGATTTTTTTAAAAGAAACTTTTAGCATTTTTATGATAGAAAAGGGGCTGTGTGTGTTTTTATTTTTTAACACCAGTAGTTGCCCACAGAAGGTTAAGAATGTTAAGACTGTTTTTGAGATCTACTGACACTGATAACAATAAAGATGATATCAGTTGGACCACTTCACTTTTTACGTTATGTACTTGATGAAAGCCAGTCTCCTCTCGGGGTCCTAGATTTGCCAAGTTTATTTCCCATTTTTGCCCCACATTTATGTTAGTCCTTTATATGGAATTTCTACTTTCCTCTTTTCTATAAATCTGATCTATTCTGTTCTTTGCATCCTATAAGGCCGGGCTCAAAGTTCATGAAGACTTCATACTCTAGCCTACCAGCTCTTAATCCTTATTTCAGTGATTTCGAAATTCTGTCGAATGCAGGAATAACAGATAGGCGTCATGCTGCTCACACATCCAGTTGCTTTGTAGTGACTATTGGAAACACTGTGCTTAGTATAAGCCTCAAGTCAGGGCTCACCTGAAAAGACCACAGAACAAACTAGTGATATCAGCTCTTGGCCTAGGGATGGGGTAAGGGCTGTTGGGTTTGCAATACATTTGCAATTTCTCTTTCCATGTGTTGAGCTTTTCCTGGACCACCATGTTCCAAAATCAACTAACTGTAGAGAAAGAATATGCAAACAATTTATTCTTGAAATTAAATAAAATTATGTTACACCACTAACTAACCTGATACAGTCCACCTTTTTCTTGAAAAGATGTTGGAGACAGTCAGCTACTTAGAATTTTCTTCATGAGTCAGACATGCTACAGGCTTTTACTATTGTTTATCTCATTTTGCCTCTGATGGGTAAACCATAATGAAATTTATAATCAGGATTTAACAATTGAATGATATTTTCATGTTGATTGCAATTTTAGTTTTGTCTCTGTTACTGTAGGTTTTCATATCTCACAGTCATTAACACAGTGCTGGGCATACCTGCAAACTTACGGATCCAGGGTATTCGGAAGACTGACCTCCTTGCTTTTTCCATTTTCCTGATACAGGCAGACCTTGGAGACATTGTGGGGGTTCAGTTTCAATATTTACAGCAATAAAGTAAATATTGCAATAAAGCGAGTCACACAAATTTTTAGGTTTCCCAGTGCATATAAAAGTTGTTTATACTATAGTGTAGTCTATTAAGTGTTCAATAGCATTATGTCTAAAAATGTACATACCTTAATTTAAAAATACTTGATTGCTAAGAAAATGCTAATCCTCATCTGAGCCTTCAGCAAGTCATAATCGTTTTGCTGGTGGAAGGCCTTGCCTCGATGTTGATGGCTGCTGACTGACAGGGTGGTGGTGGCTGCAGGTCGGGTGGCTGTGGCAATTTCTTCAAATAAGACCACAGTGAAGTCTGTCATATCAATCGACTCTTCCTTTCACAAACATTTCTCTGTAACACATGATGCTGTTTGATACCATTGTACCCACAGTAGAACTTCTTTCAAAATAGGAGTCAATTCTCTCAAACACATCCACTGCTGTATCAACTAACTAATTTATGTAATATTCTAAATCTATTGTTGTCATTTCCACAATCTTCACAGCGTCTTGACCAGGACTATATTTTACCTCAAGAAACCACTTTGTTGGCTCATCCATGAGAAGCAACTCCTCACTATTAAAGCTTTATCATGAGATTGCAGCCATTCAGCCACGTGTTCAGGCTCCACTTCTAATTCTAGTTCTCTTGCTGTTTCCACCACATCTGCAGTGACTTCCTCCGCTGAAGTCTTACCCCCTCAAGTCATCCCTGAGGGTTGGAAACAACTTCTTCCAGACTCCTGTTAATGTGGATATTTGACCTCTTCCCATGAATCACACATGTTCTCAATGGCATCTGGAATGGTGAATCCTTTCCAGAAGGTTTTCAATTGACTTTGCCCAGATCCATCAGAGGAATCACCATCTGTGGCAGCTGTAGCCTTTTGAAATGTATTTCTTTAATAATAAGACCTTAAAGTCAAAATCACTCTTTGATCCATGGGCTGCAGAAAGGATGTTGTGTTCACAGGCATGAAAACAAGATTCATCTCATTGTCCGTCTCCATCAGAGCTTTTGGGTGACCAGGTGCATTGTGAACAAGCAGTAATATTTTGAAAGAGATTTTTTTTTTGAGCGGTAAATCTCAACAGTGGCTTAATGTATTCAGTAAACCGTATTGTAAACAGATATGCTCTCACCCAGTCTTGTTCTTCCATTTATAGACACAGGCAGAGTAGATTTAGCATAATCCCTAAGGGCCCTAGGATTTTCAGAATGGTAAATGAGTGTTGGCTTCAACTTAAAGTCACCAGCTGCATGAGCCCCTAACAAGAGAGGCAGCCTGTCCTTCGAAGCTTTGAAGCCAGGCACTGATTTCTCTCTAGCTGTGCAAGTCCTAGATGGCATCTTCTCCCAATAACAGCTGTTTTATCCACATTGAAAATCTGTTGGGCCGGCCGAGTGGCTCAGTTGGTTAAGAGCTCGCTCAAGAGTGTGAGCGCTGAGCAACAGCGGTTCGATTCCCAGCCCGAGCTGTGCTGCCTGAGCTGCCAACAAGTGGCAGGATGGCTCAGCTAAAAAATAATAAATAAATAAGAAAAGATAAAAAAAACCCCAAAATCTGTTGTTCAGTGGAGCCACCATCATGAATTATCTTAGCTAGACCGTCTGGGTAATTTGCTGCAGCTTCTCCATCAGCACCTGCTGCTTCACCTTGTACTTCCATGTTACGGAGACGGCACCTTTCCTTAAACCCCATGAACCAGCCTCCACCAGCTTCCGCCTTCCCCTCTGCAGCCCCCCGCCCTCTCTCAGCCTTCCTAGAATTGAAGAGAGGCAGGGCCTTGCTCTGGATGAGGCTCGGGCTTAAGGGCAGGCTGTGCCTGGTGTGACCTCCTATCCAGACCCCTAAGACTGTCTCCGTATCAGCAATAAGCCTGCTTTGCTTTCTTATCATTCCTGAGTTCACTGGAGGAGCACCATCCATTTCCTTCAAGAACTTTCCCTCTTTCCCAGCTGGGCTGACTGGTGTGAGCGGCCTGGCTTCCAACCTGTCTCGGCTTTCGACATGCCTTCCTCTCTGAGCTTAATCATCTAGCTTTCGGTTTAAAGTGCGAGACATGTGGTTCTTCCTTTCACTTGAACACTCAGAAGCCACTCTAGGGTTATTAATGGGCCTAAATCAGTACTATTGTGTCTCAGGGACTAGGGAGGCCCCAGGGGAGGGAGAGAGGTGGGGGAACGTCCGGTGGGTGGAGCAGTCAGAACACACACGTTTATCAGTGAAGTTCACCATCTTACATGGGTGTAGTTAGTGGCACCCCAAAACAATTACAATAGTAACATCAAAGATCACTGATCACAGATCACCAGAAAAAAACATAATAATAATGGGAAAGTTTGAAATATTGAGAGAATTACTAAAATGTGACACAGATAGGGAAGCAAACAAATGTTAAAAGAAATAGCACTGACAGACTTGCTCAGCGCAGGGTTGCCACACACCTTCAATTTGTTAAAAATGCATTATCTGGGAAGCAGTTAAAGAAAATGAAGTGCAATAAAACAAGGTATGCCTGTATTCTGTTTCTAAATGGAATTATTATTCTGCTATACTAACAATAAATAATTGGAAGTGGATTCTCAAATAGCTTAGATAAGCTGAGAGGCATATGAAAATTAGCAATTACATTAATGGGAGGAGTGACAAAGGATTAATATTCAATGTTGTAAATGTAACTTTGTTTTTAAGGACAAAGGAAAAAAGCAACCTTCCCTGGGTGAAGCCCAACCCACCAAGAATTTGGTGAGAATAATTGTATAATTTTCTTTCTTTATCAGCTTTTTACTCCACTTAATTCTTTAATGTTTCTCTTTGAATTTTCTTTTTTATGGTTGGTTTTAAAATATTCATTATAATGTTAATAAAAGGAATAAGGAGGTACTGCTTACAAATTGGATCCCTTTATACCATTTTTTTTTAAATAAAAGACGCTAGGGGAAATATCAGAGCACTGATTTTTTTTAAAAAGCAACAAAATTAAAACATCAGTAGGTAATAGGCAAAAGCCATAAACTCTTTATATAGAAGAAAACAAACTACAAAAAAAAAGCATATGAAGAAAAAAAGCCATCCTTTTGAGTTAGTAAAGAAATACAAATTAAAAATGAGAACCCATTTTATACCAATTGGTATAGAGTATTAAGTATATACTGGAGTGCCAAAGAAATGTATACACATGACTTGTATTCATCTTTTGTTATCGGTATATATTGAGTATTACAATTTTAATACAGTTTTTTTCCTTTCTTAAAATGTGTGTGCATTCTTTGGCACCCGCTCTATTACATATGTATAATACCATGAATATTCTATAATTATATATTTATACATACTATTAGATATTACACAAAATTATATAGCAATACAGGAAATATTTATGAATGAAAAACTCACAATACTTAACTGAATTTGTTGACACATTAAAATGATATTAACTAGGATGGGACATGTGAAAGTGAACACACCTGGTCCTTGAGCTGATGGGTTCGTCTTTTTTTGTTCCCATTATTAATTATAATGTCGCTTGACCAATAGGTATAAGGGAACATGGAAATTCCTTACTCCTCCTATAAGCAGGGTGAGTTTGCACACCCTGGGACTCAAGAAACCTGGAGTGGAAGAGTTGAAATGAATCCATGAGCAATATAAATACATTGAGGGCTTCTGGCTAAGAAAATTTGGAAAGAAAGTTTTAAAAAGAAAGATCACATCTTTGTTCCCAGGATTACAGAGGCAGAATCATGGCTCTTTGTTTTTTGTCTTTTTAATGAATGTTCAATCTTGGTCTCTGAGGAACAGTCATGAAATTTTCACACCTATGTATTTAAAACCTGCTTAGTCACATAAATGTCAATTTGTACTTTTCAAACATGTCCTGGGACTCTCATTAAGAAGAGTATGAGACAAAGACATTCCTGGACTGTATGGTCAGCAAGACTTCCGCATTTAATATTTCCAAATTCCTACTTCACCCAGGAGCCAGCCAGGAACTGGCACAACGGCCACATGTTCTAATAATAAATCTTAGCTGCCAACCTGGAAGCTTCAAGGTATATAGTCCCAAGTCCCACCCGGGTCGGGGCTCAGCCTCTGGATGTGAATCCGCTAAGCCAGTGCCAGCATTAATAAAAGTTGCTTCCCATGCAAAAATAAAAAAAAAAAAGAGTATGAGAAATTCCCCTTCCTATTTATCTTTGAAATCTGTTGTCTCATCTTTTAAAAGGATTATTTAAAGGCTATGTGTTAGTGTTATTAAATGTATAACTAAGAGTGATCCAAATTTGTGACTAAACCAAAAACAGGAAGATGAGCTCAAGACCCAGTAATGACACTTACTTGTCATGGGACCTGGCAGCTTATTTATCCTCTTTGTAGCTCAGTTTCCTCATCTGTGAAAGGAGGCGAAACTGTCAATTTCGCAGAGTTCAGTAGATAAGAATGAAGCAATGTACGTAAAGCACTGAGCACAATACCTGCCCAACAGTTGGTTGCTGTCTAAGTGAACTCCCCTGCCCTGCACTAAGCCCGCTTCCCAGGGGCCCACGGGAATATAACTGAGTAATGCAGAGTCACTCCCCTGTGTCTATGCCATGTGAGGCATCTTTTTCTCCTCTCTGCAGGCTGTACAAGTAACACTTTTTAAGGTTCTCGTCAGGAACCGAAAACTAGCTCATGAGGCAGGCGTTGTCCACACTGTAGTGAAGACCAGACTGCTGGGGTGGACTTCAGGGTAGATCCTTAGTAATCGTCTTGGTCAAAATACTCTGGATATTTTCAGTGTTAACTATTCCTTCTATAAAAAAATACATTTTCTTCCATATTAAAAAACTTAATTGAGTAATCTAAAAAAAAATCTTTCTCACAGAAGTTTAAACAGCATTCGTGTATCCACTGTTGCAGGGGTGAAAACGGCAGCCACTTACTTGACTTAGCTCTTTAATGAATTTTAATCTTCAAACCACAACAACTTTGAATTTCCTATACATCAATTATCATAACTATAGTTATAAATCATAGTTTTAAAATATCATGCAAGATTCTCCTTTTCCATTATACTAAAATTTCAGTATAGCTTAACATGATGGCAGTTGCAGATTGAATATTTTAAAATGTGTATTTTTACAAAAATGTGAACTTAAAACTTCTTTTTAAATATATTTCTGTAGGAAGAGAAAAAATCTTTAAAGGAACAGAGAAAACAGGAAGACATGTGTTTCCTACGGATACTACTAGAAAAGATAAAAACTTGTTGGAATAAAATTTTGAGTGGCACTAAAGAACATTGAAAAATATGGAGTGACAATATAAAAACATGTGAACTTTAGCTGTATCCTTCAAGAATCTATCTGCTCACACAGTTTTTTGGGGGTGGGATGCCTCCTAGAAGTTACTGAATGTATCCTGGTAAAAATGGATTAGAGCAATTGAGAACATACTGCGGTACTAGAAGATGGACATAAACAGTGGAAGCCCGGATGCTGCCATCAAAGAACTGCTTCATATGTATTGCGGACATGTACCAGCTGGCATTCATTTGTAGACAGTCCATGTAACATATTAGTTGCAGCAATACTTTATAAACCTGTTAAAATTTTTCAGAAGAAGACATATAAAATCTGTGAAGTATATAAAGGTTACAAGGATTAAAAATTAACATTGCTTTATTATCAAAATAATTTTATGGCTCCCTATACGTCAGTCTACTGCAATGAGAGTGGAAATTGTCATCTTCTGTGCTGGAAATGTTTCACAGTTAACAGTGAGATACGGATAGTGCCCAGGAGAACAAGAGACACATATTGTAAAGCAACGCCATAAAGGAATTCAAGATTCTTAAGAGAGGTACTGAGATAAAATTAAACATGAATGTATATAACACAGTACCTCCAATAAATGGCATAGCAAATGTTTTAAAACAAAAATAAAGAATCATTTCATGGAATAGCAAGTCACCTGTTCTAAGGATGCTAAACCGTAGTACTGAGTTTCTTCTGTCATTTATGTGTAATAAAACTTGTCTAAATGAGTTTGCAATTTGGGAAGTATATTTTTGAAAGAATAATATATGTTGGACTTTTAATTAATGGAATATGTATATTTAATTTTGACACTATATCTGTATATAAAAATATTTTCATACAGTATTACAAACAAATTGCTTACTTTGGATAACCTTTCTCCTTTGATAATAAATGACCTATGTATTAACACTGTCAGATTCACTTAACAAATCTTAACAGGTTTGTTGTTTTTTTCCCCAGTTTTATTGGGAAGTAATTAGACATGCATCACTGTATAAGTTGAAGGCGTACAGCATGGTGGTTTGATTTACATATATTGTGAAATGATTACCATGTTAGGTTCAATTAACATCCATTTTATCATATAATGAAAAGAAAGAAAAAAGGAAAAAAATTTCTCCTTGTCATGAGAACTTATAGGATTTACTCTTAACAACTTCGCTATGTATCATACAGCAGTGTTAGCAATAGTTATCACGTTGTACCTAACACCCCTAGTACTTATTTATCTTATAACTGGAAGTTTGTACCTTAGAACATCTTACTTCGATTCCCCCTCCTTCCGCCCTCCTTGTCTACTAACCAGTCTGATCTCTTTTCCTATGAGCTTTTTATCTTTTTTAGATTCCATATACGAAAGTCTGACAATTAAGTTCACGAACTCATCCTAGAAAAAGTGCTACATACCTCACTGCTGAATATCACTATGGTCATCTTTGAAGCACTCCCCTTGGGAAGCTATGCACCGACACCAGCGCCTAGTCCACCATTCAAAGCAATTTTGGAACTCTTTTTCTGGAATGGCCAGCAGAGCTGTTATCATACTACCCTTGATGTCCTGAATGTCATCAAAATGTCTTCCTTTCAATATTTCCTTTATCTTC